TCATACAAATTTATTTTACTTTGCATTTTTAAAACGTTTTTATATGAAAACGGCACCTAAAACGTTGCATAATTTTCTCTGTGTTATCATTAAATTAATCTAAGAAAAGTTGATATTGTTTTTTAATGGAAATTTAGAAATGTGGTCTTAATATTTTCTAACCTTTATAAGTTCCTATTATTTATTGCAATGAAATACCCTTAAAAAACAAGCAATCTTAAAATACATAGCATGTCTAAATTTTCTTAAATATATTGTATTTTTTTCCAGTGTCTACATACTTGGCTCTCGGCTATCAACAAGCTATTGTTTATTTTCCCAATTCGGGCTGGCTCCAAGACCTCGGACCTTCATGGCGGGGCCTACCCATCGCTTATGGCTGCACTAAATGCCCCTGCTCACTGATCCGCCCCAGGTCAATCAGATCCCAAAATCTAATGCTACACGCCGGGCCGAGACACGAAAAATAATTACCCGAAATTGTGTGTTTCAGATCTGTGTGAGACTAAGTATTACCCGCGCTCTAAACGCTCCAAACACTTTCGTTTGAGGAAAATGGCTAAACAAAACAAAAAAAAAATTGTATAATCAGCATTAGGCAGCGCCAGCAATTGGCAATCATTTCTGGGTACAAATTAAAATTATATTACAACATTTTCTTAGACAACAACAAGAGCCCACTGATTACAGGAGACCAAATCGAAAATGCACTCAACCATCCATTCCGTCCATTCGGCGAGTTAAAGCCGAAACAGCAACTAACTAACCGGGCCGAAACTGAAACTGACCTGCCCGAAAACAGAAACTGAAATGGCGAGCGGGCAAAATGAAACGAGACGAGGCGAAGGCGGTCGAAAGTGAAAGTTTTGTTGTTGTTTAAGCTTTGTTGCTGCTGTTGCCGCTTTCCGATTTACTGTTAAACGGGGGCGCAGTCTCTGGTGATTGCCGCATTGGCAGCATCACGCGAATTGCAGGCTGAAAATTCATTTGCCGCATCCGAATTAAATAATTTTGATTGCAGCGCCAGCAATCAAATAGAGATCTGTTTAAGGCAGCAGTCGAGGGGCCTTAGTTCAATGCTGCTGTATCAGTGCTGCCATCACTCAGCTTGAAAAACAGGACAGATGAGCCAAAAAAAACAGGGAAAAAAAGGACAAAAAATTTTAAAAAAGGACAAAAAAAGGGACAAAAGTAAATGCGCCTCCATTTTTCTGTTTTACCTATGGGTTATATAATTACTTAATTTAAATGGATTTTATATTAAATTCAATTATGTAATGACCTACTGCGCCCGACTCACATCCTTCTTTGTTTGATCATTTTACCATGGTTAATTTTTGTGCGTATACGTAATAATCTAAAATTATTAAAATAATAAAAGCATTTCAAGTAACTATATTGGTAATACAAAAAAATGCAATATCTGCGTCAAACCCGAATAAGAGTCGTTAAAATCTGAAAATTTTTTCTGACAAAAAAGCAGAGAGTAAAAATTGAGAAATTTTTAAAGTGTTTTCCTCTTTACGTCTGCTTTACGTCTCTTTGCTTTACGTCTCTTTGATCATTTGTAAAAATAATTATTTTTTAAGTGCCGAACTGTAAGATTGATGGTTAAAAAGGCGTTTTAGCATATAAAAACAGGTTTACACACTTTCGACTGGCAAAAATAACACTCAAAACCTTATTTTTGAAAAAAGGACAGATTTCCGGATAGGGGATGTTTGAAATTTTTTCCGGATAAACCCGTTAAAAAAAGGACAGATCTGTCCGGAAAGAGGACAAAATGGCAGCACTGTGCTGTATTGATACCCATTTTATTTTAAATTTGATAAGCATGATTACAAGCTAAAATTAACTAATCTTACTAGTTTTTTATAGGAACGTATCGAGTGCCATTAAACGATATTTATTTTTATTATTTTTGCCTTGACTGAACTTACTTTTAAGTCCAGCCATTTTTCTGGTTTATCTCTACAAGGTTCATTATTTCTCTAATAATCTTCTTAAAAAGAAGTGATATAATTCCGTTTTATATTTGACATAATACTTGTAACATTAAAAAATTTTTTAAATAAATGTAATATCCAGTTTTGATGGCATCTGATCGAAAGGTACTACAATTTTCAATGATCTGACATTATAAACATAAGATTTAAGATAGTTATTAAGATCAAAATTCTCTTTGAATCTTTCTTTCCAGTTTTTTTGGAAACAAATTAATTTAAAATTTATATGATAGAAAAAACCACATATAATTGCCTAAATCTTTAAATAAACGATAAAATAAACTAAAGACAATAAAGTAGGATTACGAAAGTGACATGTATTACTATCAACTTAAAGAGTGCTACCATTCATAAAGAACCCTCTTTATCATATATCGTACATACCCCTGATACCCTGTTTTATCACAGTCATCAATCCCCTGGTAGTGGCCATTGCCAAATGCGGCCAGCCCCGCTGACAACTTGCAACTTCCTGCAATGCGACAAAAAGCAGAAACCAAACCCGTTGGCCGCAACTTCAAGTGGCATCTTCAGGCCACAACTCTGCTCTTTTCCACATTTTCTCTCTGATTTTGTGCCTTGGTTTTTTTTTTGTTTTTGTCGTTTTTTTTACCCGTCATTTCTTCTCCTTTTGCGCTCATCAATTTTCAGTGCCACCAAGCGAATGGCTGATTAATATGATCCGATTCGGGATGCCACTGGTCCGTGTTATATAATTGATCTTTTGTTTAGAGTCTATGGCTTAATTGAGTCTGGCGAATTGATTAATGGGCAGCAGCAGCTTCATTAAAAATGCCCGACAAAATCATGACGCCTCTTGAGAAAAAAAAATGCAATTTAATAAGGAGATATGCATTTCAGCTCTATTTATGAGATTTCATCAGTAGGTGCTTTACTACAGATCAATTTGTGATATCAGCTTAATTAAAGTATTATCTTTAAGGTCTTTTATGGCCCTTACAAAATATGTAAGCAACAAAAAACTTATAGAAAATATAAGTGATTAAAGATTTACAAAATAAGTACATAACCGTATTAAATAGGGATAGATTAATTTACAGCCCATTTAGGTTTCAAAAGTATAAAACTCACCATTAAAAATTAAATACACTGCTCTACAATTAACTCAATCACATAATCATATTGAAAATTTTATATGTTTGCCAATTAAATATTTTACAAAGTCAGCAAACAAAAAGACGATGTTTCAAAGTTTCAACTTTACCTTAACTTTATTAAACCTTAATATTTATTGAACTTCATCTAACTTAATAGGGCGGCCATTCACAGTCCATTTACGCCACCATTCATAAGTTGAAGTCACATCAAATCAATAGAAAGTGTGGCAAACTTTTCACTACCCACACATTATACACAGTTGACATAGTTAGCCAGGCAAGCAGAATTCTGCGATATGATGACTTACTATAGGCATGTTATCGATTCAATGGGCAACTAATTGCTGGCCCAAATGGATGCTTGACTTGGCCCAAAGCCTGGGGCTAAATGGTTTGGTAAACACCGCGCGACACGCACACACGAAAGTTGTTTACAAAATAATGCATAAATTTGCATTATTACTTCGGCTGGCAAATTGCAAACTCAATTTACCAACTCTAAACGGTTTCTTTGCATAAATACTTCGTTGATTGCTGCGCTTAGAAGCCAACTTCAATTCAGCCAAATAACTCCGAAAATATAAGCAGAGAAGTTGGTAATGTAAGTGCTCTTCAAAAAATCAATCCAAAGCCAATTAACGAAACTGATTTGCGGCCTTGACCAAAAATCACTTAACAATTCCGTCAACGGCATTTAATAAAAATGCGTTTATGGAATAAATAAACAAACGAAAAGCGATACAAAAAAAAAAAACACTCAACTGCAAAGAGCAAAACGTATAAAATGCACGTGAACTGATTGTTTTCAATTGGTTTTTGTTTTTTGTGAGCTTCACGCACTTCTAAGTGCAGTGGGAAAAAACAACAGAAGGGGATTACCGATTCTGTCAGAGCTTTGTTTTCGTTGTAGAACTAGTAATTGCATTTAATTATCGGACTTACTGAGCCTGATCATGTTCAGCTTAATCTCTAGTGCAAACTACTAAAATGAAATCGAATCCTATTGTTAACTGAGCAATTAGAAATTCTGAAAACGGTAAGTAAATTAGATTGACATTGTTACGCATAATCCTTAGTAAGGATATTAAATGGCAAACTTTTATAAAATGTTAGACGAAATGTTTAGCATTTAACTTGCATACTTCTGGGATGTGAATGGAATTAATTAAATGTATATTTTACTTAAGTAAAGTAAAAATTAAAATTTGAATTTTAACATGCTCTCCGAAGTTATCACTGTGGATGGGAAATCACATAGTGACGAAACGCTCTTGGAAATTACGGAAGGCTACTAAGTAATACCGATAAACTTACTATGACTGTCCCATCGAAAAGTTGTAAATGCAAATTTCTTTAAGTCATTTTATCAAGTTGTAAAAATTTTACTACTTTTAAAATTTTCTTAAATATTTATAATTTTAGAATATTTTATTAATTTTTATAAGACTTTTTTTAACTATTTAAAATTTAAAAATTTGCTTAGTTAAACCCTCTCAACATGATTTTTTATTAGAAGCCACATTTTGCAGGATTTTTATATACAGATTCAAAACTGGGTTAGAAAATTTAATAATGTTAATTTAATTAAGCGAACCAACATAAAACAAGTTCACTACTTTAGCTATCTTACCTTTCTCTATCTACTTTATTGAAACGGCAATATGCGTAAGCCAATGGCAATGGACCGCAGACGACCAAGGTGACTTGTTCATCTGCCAATGCCAAACTCTCGCCATAAATTTCAATTTTCAGTTTGCACAGGTGCTTTGGTCTTGGCCATGCTCTCTAGGTCGCAAGATAGAATCTCGAGTCACTATAAATAGTTCCGGCCGTTAGGTGAAATGCCAGTTTAGTTCATTATTAAATCACAAGCAAAATGAAAAGCACTTTGAGTCTGTCGACAGTCCTGTTTATCGTGGTCTTTGCCTGCGTCTTTCACTCGGGAAGTTCGAGTAGCATTTCCACGCCCAAGATCTGCGTTATAAGGAACTGCAACTGGAACTCAACGACAAATGCATGTGCTCGCTACGGACGCTCCAATCTGTGCAATCGCTTCAAGAACAGCTGCACACTGCGATATGAGTCCTGCGTGGGTTCCAGTTCCACCACATATACGGCCGTCGCCCTGTCCCAATGCTCCGGAATCACCGTGGGTAACCGAGGAATCTGCGGCGGATCCTCGTCGTCCTCCTCCTCATCTTCAAATATTACACCCATTATTATTCGCCGGGGTTAATAAAAATATTTAAACTAATCATCGAAAGTTTTTGGAAATATCTTTTTATGTGTTACTACTAAATATCAATATTTGGTATACACTTCGTTTTCTAGTATGACTGTTAAATTTAAAGTAAGTTTTAAACTTTTGAGATCTACACTTTTACAAGGCTTAAGCGTACTTTAAATTTAACCTGCGGATGGGGAAAACGGGCCCTAGACTTCCTAACTTAACTGTTTGAACTCAATTTAAACCTTCACTTTTATCTGGCCATCGATTTGTTGTTTATCAACCATATAATATTTAATCAAATTTGTTGAACACATAAAGCAAGAGTATTGAGTAGGAAATACAATAGCAGAAAGGCATTGTTAAACGATATAAATATTGATTTATACTTATAAACTAGAGGACTCAAGGCTAGAGACCCAAAATCCAATGCGAATTATAAACCACTATTTGCTCAGCTGGCAATTTGCATTATAATGTTTTAAAGTAGAACAAATTGTTGTATTTTTTTGCCAAGCAAACAACGATGGGGTGGTATAAAAGCCCAGATGCGTAGAACCCATTTAAATTAGTAGAAAACACGATGAAAGCATCATTGTTAGTTTGTGTCATCCTGGTGGCGGTATTCTTTCTGAACGTTTCCGGGAGCAACAGCAGCACTACGTCCTCCGACGCAGGGTTCGACTATCCAGTTAGTAATATCCTGATACGCTCTAAATCAAGATCTCGCAGAATTTGCCGGCGGAATGTCCAGAAAAGTTGCACCTCCACCACGAAGACCTGTGCTCGCTTGGGAAAGGCTAATATCTGTCAGGCGTTCCAGAATGACTGCACGCGGCAACTGAGCAACTGCGACGGCAAAAAATGTGAGTCAAAACTGAAGAGTCGACCATTTTACTTCCCTAAAACCATTTATTTTCAGTCTATCGCAAAGTGGAGCTCAATCTCTGCCGTGGCCTGCCCCTCGATACTGTTCGTCCCTGCGGAAGTGGTTAATTAACCCAATGATGAGCCATTTCTGGTCTTATGTTTGGTCTAAAAAATGCCTGAAGAAGTCTTTAAGGAAGTCTCTAAATAAATACAACTAAATCTTATTGTTAAATATTTCATTACCAAATTAAAAACATTTTATTTAAAATCAGAATAATTTGTTCTTAGTAATGTTAGTGAGATAAAATAATAACCAAAACACAATTCTTATTCAATCTCACTTTTTGATATAACAAATCTTATTATCACTACATAAGATGGACATTCAAGTGTTGTACTTTCTTGGGAAGAAGTTATATTCAATAACTTGAACATAATTTTCTATTTCGCCTGGGGATGGCATCCCAGCTAAACGTAAAGGGCTGTCACTCAATTTGGTGATAAAGTTTTATTTAATAAATTGTATTTTTGCTTTTATTTTATATTAAAGCAATATATTTAACGGAGCTCTGCTGAGGTTCTTGAGCGTTATTAAGAGCAGACTTGAAATCCATTTTTTGTTCTAAAAAAATCGGTATTTTTTGTAGAAATATGAAATGTTATTCCTTGTTGAGCTTGTAATTCCTTTCCTAATCGATTGACTTTCAAGACTACAAATATACATTTTTGGCCAATTTCCTGAAAAAGACGTGATGTAACCCCAGACAAATTTGTAAAATTGTTCATAAAATGTATTTTTTGGAAAGTGAAAAGGATCTTTAGCTTGCCAGCTGTTCAAAACAGTAGATCTTGGTTTTACTAAGTTATGTTAGAAAACTCTTTTCAGAACCGCTGCATATCAATTTCAAGTTTGCTTGTTAAATAAAAACGACCAGTATAAATTTACGATCAGCCTAAAAGTATTCCATTGCTTAGAAATTTGGTCAGGAATGCGGTGCTCACCATTTATTTGAACAGCAAATTTAATATTATTTTTAAACGGCTCACGTGAAGTGTTATTTGCGTTGTTAGATGAATTTAGATATATTTACACAATTGCGAGGGATCAAAGCGAATTTACTGACATACGTATTGAACAAAGAAAAGGCAGCGAAATGTCGAATTTAAATACGATTCTTTGTTGATTAGAAAGAAGGAAGAATTGTGCGGGCAAACATCTTCCAAGGTCGCTATTAATTCCGAGTATAAAAGTGGCTGAAGGCAACTGGAAAAGAACTAGACATTGAAATGCGTTTGACGTTGGCTCTTTTGGTGCTGATCGCACTGATCGCCGTGGCCACCGAAGCCCAGACTAATCAGAAAAGGACAAGGGCCAGGACCTTGGCCAGCGTCACATCCCGTCGATCTTCTAGGACTAGTGCCCGAACTGGAAATGTGAGAAGGCGTTCACTAAATGCCCGTAACTCCAATCGCAAATCGGTGATAATTATTGGCAACGGCAGCACTTCGTCCAGCACCAGCAGTTCCACGCCCTCCTCCCGATGCAGGACCACCCCCACGACCTGCTTAGCCAACTCCAATGTCTGCGGTCGATGGAGCTCCACACGCAGGTGTCATCGGTTCAAGAACAGGTGCCTCATGGAGAAGGCCAATTGCCAGACAACTGTCTCTAGTGAGTATTCATCAAAAAATTATTAATATCGGATTTTAGAAACATAAAAAATAATTCTTTAATACCCCATAATTTTTTAAGGTTTGGATAAGTTGCAAATGAAAATATTTACCAATTCCGTAAATTAACAATTATTTTCCTTTATTCAACAGGCTGGAATGTAGTTAATCTTGGCAACTGTACGAGCATCACTGTCAATACAACTGGCACCTGTAGCAGCACCTTTTCATCATCATCATCTTCGTCGAGCTCAACATCCAATTCTGCCTTGGCCAACATACTCTCCTCAATTTTGGGATCATCATCATCTTCATCGAGCATCACGCCCATCATTATACGAAGAGGTTGATAAAGTTTCTGGTCAAGTTATAAATAAAATAAGTAACCTCAAATAAAATTCTGAAACAAGTCTATTGAACTGTATAAAGAACTGGAAATATTTATTTCTGAAATCTAGTCAATGTCTAGATTTATTAAACAATTGGTTTTACGACTGATTAAATAGAGTTCACAAAGAGTTCTTTAAAGGCATTATTAAATAATACCAAGCGAAACACTGAAGAGATTTATTCTTAAATTATGCTAATATTTTGAACTTTTACTATCCAAATGTTTCGTAATGACCTATTTTTCAGTCGCACAAACAATTATTTATGTGTGTGTGTGTGAGTACGAGTGTTCAGTGTGCCATTCTAATTGCATCCGCAGGCGTTCGCCATTCACATCCGCTGTATACAAAAAGGAAAAAAAAGAAAAAAAAGGGAAAATGGCGAAAAATTGCAAACTAAAAAGCGAAGCTCCATAAATTTACATTGTCCGCATGTATGTGTGCTCTTGTGCGCTTGTCTGCGTGGCCATAACCATAATTCTCCCCTCGTTTTCCCCACAGCCAAGTGGTGCGATTTATGCGAATGCAATTAAAAAGAGCGAAAAAAGGGAAAATGTTAAAGCATACATCATGGCGATATGAAAGCCATTAAAAACTAAACGAGTTGCAAAAGCACCCGAAAGCGTTTAAATGAATCATTTTACTGTTTGATCGGCGATTGAGATTGAATGATAAAATCGGAGAAATTAAACAAGCTACGGTTTTCGTTAAATGAAACACAGGAACCAGTTTTATAAATAACGATATATTTCAATGAATCATAAATATTTGAATAGCTAACAAATGAACATCGTTTTCATTAAATAAACTTATGTGCAGACTCCAGTTCCTCCAATAGGGATATTATTATTAATACAATAGGTTTGCACATCCACCGTTGTTCCAAGTTGGCCAAAACCTGAAAATTTAAGAAATTAGTGGAAATTAAATTTTAATTTAATATTTCCATATTTAGGTTTCGTCAACGTAACGTCACTGAAATAAAACCGATTTAACAATAAACCTTTAATGTAACTTTATGGTTTAAAGTTTAATATTTTAATTACAAACTTCTAAAAAAAATATTTAAATGGGTAAAACCTAGATCTGGAATCGATTAAAATCAATATTAATAAGAAATTTAATATTATTACTCTATTAAATATTATTCGGTGCTTCGAAGAAAAACCTTTTAATTTCAGAAGTTAAAGAGCCCTAGAAAATATATAAATAAACCAAAAATATTTACTTGTCTCGCCCTTGCACATATCGAGCAGATACTTGCAATCGCTGCGATAGTACTTGCAAGTATAGATGGCCGTCATGGCCGTAGCATCTGTCCCAGTTTGCAGTCGGATGCATCTGGGAGTGCTCTTGGAGCAGGACCTTTTGGTGCTCCACAGGCAGTAGAAACGCTGGCGAGCCTCCAGTTGAGAAGCCAGACTCAGGATTAGGATAGCAGATATAATAAGGCACAAAAACTTCATATTGGTTCAAATCGCTCGGTTTGAAGGTTGGATTGTAACTGCCCTTTAACAATTGGACCACTCGATTTTATAGTAGTTACCTCTCTGCTATCTCTTTGCGGACCGCAAATATTTGACCCCGACGAAAGTGAAATTCGAGAACAGCCAGCAGGCCTAAAACGTTTCGAGCTTCGGCTTTTTGTGTTTGCCAAAATCTGGTGTTGGCCAAAAAGACAAAGCCAATGTTTGCCCTATCAAATAGAAGGTGACAGCGCTTAGTTAATTAGCTAATGAATAAATACCAATTGTTTGCATTGAAATTGGAGCAGATGGTTTTCAGTTTAACCAACAATTCATTGGGTAAGGTTTTTAGAAAGTTGAATAGGCCTATACAACTTAGTTTTGGTCACTTAGATTTTGTAGTTTTAAACATGGAGGGAAATAATTTAAAGAAAGCTTATTCAACGTGGATGATATCATATCTGACTCACTTTCCTTAACTTTTCACTAAAAAACTTTTCATGGTAAACCATTAGTATTATTTGACGAAATTTTTTAATTAACATGTCCTTGGTATACAAATTTCATGAACTTGCCGAAAAACACCTTATATAATTACCCCAGCCCAAAATAAGCTAGGATAAAAGAAGAGAAATACAATTACCAAAGTGAGGAGGGACTGGGAACGTAAGACCAGCAATTGTGAGTATTCGTAAGTAGAAAAGTTATCGCACTGGCTGCCACTCTCTCATTCCCGCTCGCCATGCGTCAGAACCATCAGTCTTCTGCCTGTCCGTCCATCATGCGAGTTTTAAGTCCCCAGTTACCTACACTTAGAAAAATTTTAAATTAAAATTCAAGCCTAAATTTCAAAATAGTATTAAATCCTGTTTAAAATACAAAGTTCGGAAATTAATATTAAATTTTTTAACGTAGACCTACTTATTAAAAATGTTTAGCTTTTTTAAAAAAAAACCTAATTTAAAAAAATTGTTTTAAAGAAGTGCTATATTTCTTAAAAAATTTTTTAAAACACAAATCAATTTAAAATTACTAGAGAGTAATTATCACATACATTTTTTGTATAAAAAAACAATATTAAACAAGATTTTTGAAAATGCATCATTTCTTTCTTTTCAATTTTGTATCTTTTATTTAAAGAAAACCAATTTAGAGATTTTTTTTAATATGTGTTTTTTTCCACTGTGTATGTACAATTTACATACTTACAATGCCCACTTTTTTCCATTTTCACATTGGCTCCTCACATTTTCATGTCAGGCCTGCGTCGGCATGTCATGTCACGGGCTCATTTCGCTGCATTTCCATGTAAAACTGTAAATGCTCCGCCTCCAAAAGCCGAATTAAAGTACATTCCCTACTCAATGCCATTTGTTTGTTTGGGAAAAAAGCCATCAGTGTGGGAAATATATGAATTTTGCCGAAAAGTGTATTTCAAGTTCGGGGTTCATATATAGAAGAGCAGTTTTCTCCATGTATATTTCATATTTTTATTGCTGTTTGCTGTTGTTTTTGCTAGGTTGCATGCGTTTGTTATTTTTTCAGTTTTTATCGCACCTTCGGTGGCCCTCCCCTTTGACCTCTTTCTATTTGCCCGGCGATAAAGTGCAGCTTAAGCTCTGGTTACGAGTACGAGTACGAGGATTTTTTTGTATTTTTGTATAAATTGCATTTGCAATGCCACAATGCCCCCCAGCTCGCCCAAAAGTATGCAAGAGCTTAAAATGATTAATCCAAGGTGGAAATAAAGAGAAACCGAGGGCTTGGAAGTGCACTTTAATTAGTTGGGACATTTTGAATGGATTGCATGTCATGCGAATGGCATGCTTATCGCTATTTGTTGCTATTGTCGTTCCTCTCGGGCTTTTTTTCGGAACAACTCAAGGTCAAACACTCTGGTAATAATAATAAAAACGAATGAAATACCATAAAAAGTTTATTTTTAATATAATTATCGTAATCTCGGGTCTGCAAGGCGAGCCAAGACAAGGCCTCTCTCGCTTTTCTCTCTTGCTGTTTTTGTTTGCTTTTTCACTGCAGTTGTTTGCTAATTATTTTCCATTTTCATTTAACTTTGGCTCGCCTTGTTCTCCAGCCATTTTCCCTTGCCCCTCGCGCTTAATGCGCTTTCTCTGACATGGCGCTGACATTTTGCGCTGTTTTTCCTGACATTTCTTCATTTGCTATTAATAAGCTTAAGGCTTTTCCTCTGCGGCTTGCATGTCTTGAGCTGCATTTCCCATTTCTCGGCCAACACTTTCCATTGCGCTGCATTATTTATGAGCCTTATTTGTCACGCTAATTGAATAACAATTCCTTGTAATTTATGGGTAATAGTATCACCAATACCGAAGAATTTTAATTGGCATTGGGTAGAAAAAATAAATTTTTAATAGCTTACCTTTGAGAAAATTCCATATATCGCATATACGAAACTGAGTCAGCTTTTTAACCCATTAATGGCCCACTTAATGCCAATCAATCGATTCGAAGAATCCCATCGTCTTGGGTAAACAAATAAATCAAATGTGTAGACATACGCCGTATGTAAATTTAGTTTTGTCATTTACAGCAATAAATTTCATATTATTTTTAGCTTTATGGGACGATTATTGGGCACATGTCTCCATATTCGACACGAACATGACACCCAGTTCAGGAATCAACCCGGAGAAGGAAAGCAAAACACCACCACCTTCAGGAGCACCGGTTCCAATTTCCTGTCAATACCTTCCGAACGGAACCTATCTAAAAAACTGGGATACACATGCAAAAAATTACATTAAATAATTTTATTAGTCGATAAATAGAGAGTTCAACAAGTGAAAAACAATAATATTGGTCTCACTCTTTAAAAAAATATTAATAAAAGTATTCCCATTTTGTATTTCAATGAACTACTTTTTATCCATTTCTTTGGGACCCCATTTTCTTGTTGTGCATAATATCTATATGTATGTACTTCACTGAAGTTTCGTGTCAGTTGAGCGTCCGCAAAAACCGATTTTCGGATAACAAAAAAAACAAAGAGAAATAATAATAATAATAAAATGGGAAAAGGGAAAAGGAAAATAAGGGAAACCGGCGCCTGACACATACAAAAAAACATTTGTTTGTTATACAGACTAAATGGATGTGAGTGCGTGGGTGTATTTTTTGGGGGTAGCTGTAGTGGGGTTTTTGGGGGGTGGTTGGTGATTTTTCTGCGTCGCACTCACGAATTATCGATAAAACATGTTCCATTTGGGGGCGGCGTGAGGTGGCTTTTGTCTCATTACGCCCACAACAAACATGTCGGGGGAAAAAACAGGTCCTGTCTTTCGTGGTGGCGGAGGGGGCAGTGGAAAATTGAAAACGAAAACGAAAGCAGGCCCCAAAAAACTTGTTTTCAGTTGTTTGCACTTTGTTGATTTCCAATCTTTACGATTTATTTGCGAGCAAAATCAAATTATTGCATGTGTCACAACTTTCATTTGACTCTTTGGGTGACAAAAAGCCGAAACAACCATAAATAAATCGGCTCGTCTATAACCAAAATGTATTACAAGACCATTTGCCTTTGAGCTTACTAACACCGCCGCCCCATTCTGGCCATAATAAATAAAACTTTGTTCTGTCATACTTTCAGTTTCGGGTTAAATGGTTTGTCGAAAGTTCCCAATTTCATTTTATTTTACCCACTGCTCTACATGATTTGCATGCACGGCAAGTGTGGGGAAAAACAACAAAGCGCAGGGTATCAAAATCACAAAAAAAAGGTTTGAAATGAAACTTTGATGAGCTATTACTCATATTGACAAGGACCCTCATTTGTCTAGGATGATTGGGGCAGGGATTGCTGGACCGATGGCGGTCCTTTTGTCCCGCATCGCGTATACGCAACGTGGCCCTGACCAGACAGCTGAGTGGAAAAGTTTGTGGCGAAAGATGATTAGCCTGCCTTTGAAAGGGTTACTTTTCCAATTCATTGGAACTGAAACGACTTGAACAAAAATGTTATGAAATTGAAAAGTATCAAGGTCTTTGGGTAAAAAGGAATTGGCACAGACTTAAAGAGATATTGGAAACGAAATTATAAATAATCTTTTGTTTTCACGGATTAAAGTGAACGATATATATTTTTTATATATTTCGAACATTTTAATGATCAGATTTCAAAATAGGTTTAGTAAATTTACCGATCTTTTAATAACTAAAAATGTAATTATAGACTTTTAAGGTTTTAAGAATTAATTTAAAGCACTGTTTCCACTTCTTTATATAAACTCCTTTGAGTTATTATCTGTTATACGTGTCTATTCAAAACGTACAAAAATTCTGAAAGATACATTACAGCTGAATTTATGGAATGATGTGTGAAAGCACTGAGAAGGGGGACAGGAAGTGCGGCACATGAGACACGTCAACATTCAATTTTCTAATGAAATTTTTATTATAATAAAGCACATATCCAAGGCGTGGGAGGTTGTAGGCCACGCCCACCTACAGTCCGTGCTAACGTATTCATGGGAAACAGTGTTGCTTTCCGCTCGTTTCCTCCCCGGACCTCCAACCCCTCGCTTTTCCGACTTACTCAGCCCAACATCCAAAATTCTCTGTGTATGTATAATGAATTCTGGCAGTGTATTGGCTGGTGGCAGCGTGTATGTGTGAGTGGCCGCCCCTTGAAGCAGAGTCCAACATGACCTACATTCCGGGATCCGGGCGCCGATGTAGCTAAGCAACTCCAGGGTCTCTGGGCCACCATCTCACCCTTGGCTTTAGCCAAAAAGCAGGAAGTCCGGGGAGAGCAAGGAGAATAAAAGGAACAGAGCAAGAACAGAAGCGCACGCAGCACGCATAGGAAAAAGGACACCCCTCTGGCAGTTGCTCAAGCCCCCTCTCAATCTCCTCCCGGGCTCCCTTAACCCAGTCATCTTCCCAGTCAAGCCTTATAAAAATTGTTTTCGGTCGCTTATTGGCAACAAATTTGCGTGCCTTGCATACAGAACAAAGGAGAG